GTGAAAGTTATTGCCGCAGTTTGTCATAAAACTCATTATTTGAGACTCTACCTATCAATACCATAACTAAAATTCGTAAATATATGTAAGCACTCTAGCACTCAATACCTCCTCGTGGGTGGCTTTGGAAAGATGCCTCAACTTTGCTTTTAAATAAAATCGACGATTTAGGTTACGGCAACTTTACTTTTACAAGTAAAATTATAAGCTTGATAAAAACTTTTTTCTTAAAATGATTGTTTTTAAGTGGCCTAATTTCCCCTCTCCAAAATTTATCATCCGGGTCTTTGTTAACCCCCTCCCTCATCTCTCATCAAAGCGAAGGACCCATACCCAATTCATGTATATTTTTAATATCATAATAACCAAATTGACCATTTTCTTTTAACAATTTTAAAGTAATCGAAATTGAAAACTCAAGTAAAGCCCATAATGGGTCCTTTTGTCTACAATCACTCCGAGGTAACAAACACAAAAAACAGGGCAAGTTCAGACAAGTTTGGGTATGTTGGGAATGTTACTGAATCCTCTTATTACTTAATTTTCCAAAACAGAGATGAGATTCTAAATTACTGGAAGTTTTTACTTTTAGTTGTTGTAAAAACATTTTGGGGGGAAGAGCTTTATCTAATGCTTCCTATTTCTCAGCTCAAGCTATGAAGAGAATGGGTTAGGGATGGGCTTACTGGAATCAGGTAGGTGGAGGACATTCGTCCTGGGTGAATAGTAACTGAATGGATAATTGTCGAGGGTGACATTATATTCTAGGAATGGGGCATTCCATACCGTCAATTATGCTTTAAGCTACTACGGAAATGGTCCTAGTCTGGCAATCGATATCTCTTACTTGGTATAATTGATTGTTCAAGTTTAGGAAGGGGGTGTTGTTGATGCAGGTGAGATTGAAGCCACTGTAAGTGCAGAATTCCGGAATCCGGTAATCGACCGCGAAAGGATAGCTGATACGAATGCGACCACAATCGTGAGCGCTACAGGCCTCATACTAGGAATCCGCCATGAAAACAGGAACCCAAAAGAGAGGAAGGAAAACAAGTAGAGCAACAGGTGGTTCTGAATGAAGCAAGTGGGCGTTTAGAGAGAGAAACCCAAGCATCAAGTGGGTGTTTTGAGAGAGAAAGCCAAACATGGTGCCAAGAGGAGGAAGAAGCAGAAAGAAAGCTCGATGGGTGGAACTTGAAGATCTCTTCCCCATTATTTAATTAATGGCTTTTTACTTTAATACGCGCAATCGTTTCAAATTGACGCGTGATGGAGCAGGTCTTGAATCGGAACCGGAATACTTTGACCAGGTTGGGTTTCTTCTCCACGGTTTTAATTTTCTTATAAAGTGTGAATATTTTTTTTAAAAAAATACAGGCAATATTACCCACCAATATTATAGGGCTGGGAACGGGTCAGGTAGGTCCCAGTACGGCTGGACCCCGACGCGAAATTCATACATAGTACCCAGACCTGGAGCTGGACCCGTTCGAGTCTATAATACCTGGATCCGGACCTGAACCCTGAACTTATTTGGACCTGGTGACCTGCACAAAAACCCCTTTCGAGCATGCAAAATAACGTGATCCCCTTTCCCATTCAAACTAAGCAGTAAAACAAGCATTTTTTATTTAACGGTTAACCAGAAACATCCTGCCAATCCAAAAACAATTATATGTTCTCTATAAATTTCACAAAACCAACGAGGTAAGCTACCAACGAATCATGAATGCTACAAGGAGTTAATTAAAAATATCGATAAAAATTAATACAGATCAAAATCTTATGGCTACAAATTTTAATTTTATTTTTGTTAATTTAATTTTTAGAGTTTGGGTGGAGTTTTTTATTTTTATTTATTAAGATTAATTATTAAAATTAGGATTTTTAAGTTTAGTTTAATAAAGTTCAGATCAAATTCTAATGGCTAAAAATCCTAATTTTAATAATTAATTTTAATAAATAAAAATAAAAAATTCTACTCAAACTTTAAGAATAAAATTAACAAAAAAAATAAAATTAAAATTTATAGCCTCCAGATTTTAATCTACTTAAAAAAAACTATACGATGATATAGAATATGGGTAAGAATGAAATCATGGATAGAAGAATACCGGTACCGTTGTCACAGGCTTCCCTGCTAGCTAATCCATCCTTGCAGTAACAAGCAATTGTCCTTCTATCTGCGGCATTCAACGCACAGCGGCCACCAGAACTAGTGCAATTTGAGCACCCTGAAGGAAATTGCTCCCATTGAAGGGCAATACCCTCCGTCAAAAGCTTCTGAAGGGGCCAGGATCCATTGCCATATTTCATAGCCTTAAGACTGGATTCTAGCACAGGATACTGAATCCAAGAACAAGTAGATGGAAGAATTAAATTATTTACTATTTCTTGTTTATCAGTGTAATAAATCTCCTGGTTCCTCTCGCTCCCGCACCCTTTAAGCGCCCAAATGTTTTCTTCGTTATTGAGGAGAGAGAGATCACCACAATAGAAGATGCTGATATTAACATGGGAGGAAGGAAGATAGAAGCCCTCGATGCGGTCCGGAAGGGAAATTTTGTGAAGGAGAAAAGAACAATTCCCATTGTCAAAGAAATCAGATAAGGGAGCAGTGAAGTTGAGAGTGCGCTCAGGGTATGATATGTTCTTAACATCATACGATTTGTCCAGGAATTTGATAGTGGTTGGGGAGCTTAACCCTCCACAATCAATTTTGAAGAGCCCACATAGCTCTGGACTGGAAGCAGCAGAGAATGGGAATTGTATATTGATGCCCGAGCAATTGACAGGAGCGCATTCTTTATAAGGATCAAAATCGTAACCTCGAGAAAGAATACAACAAAAGAGAAGAGAGAGAAACCAAGCTTGTAGAGAAGCAGCCATGGCTCCGTCACTGGTGGGGATTCATGTGCATGTCAGTAAACAAGAGAGAGAGAACTTAAAATTTTGATCGCTTTGGAGTTGTGCTCCTTGGGAGTCAAGAAAGGCTTGACTGTTGAGCCATTTACCAGAAAAACCAAAAAACGGAAAAAGCAAAATGAAAGGAAAAGAAAAGTTGCATCTTCACTCTCGAATCGATATAAGAAAGGAAAAAATTATATAAGGTTGCACCCATAAAATGTAGAAATAAAGCTGTGTCTCAAAAATCCATTGAAAAATATTGTTTTAACGTTGAAAAATCCTCTAACTGATCATCTCGACATCGAGAAGTACGAGTATGAAAAAACAAAAAGATTTTGAATCTTAAAAATAGTGTATCTTGCAATACATTATCTAGATCGTCCGTTTTCAATATTTTTTATGTTTATAGATCTATGTGATTTTAAATATTTTTAAAATTTAAAATTTTATAGTTAAATATAAAAATAAAGTTTTAGATAATTTTATGATTGTTTTTCACCAAAACTATATGTTATAATAAAATTTGGAAATGTGCTTTAATTGGATTGTTTAAAGTTGCGATGTTATAGAGACCACACCCTTATAGAAAAGCAAAGTAAATACGGACCACTCGTTTCACATTCAGATAAAAAAATCTGGAACGCTTGTGGGGAGTTGGATAAACCAAATTCTCTCTCCAATAAAATTCCGGTCAATGGGGGTTAGGGAAAATTTATTAATTTGAATTAAAAAATGCTACTAAAGAGAGGGAGTACATAGATTTCCGGCCACGGCGAGAAGAAAGTTTTCCCCCTTTTTTCCAAACGGATAAGCTTTAAATAGGGATGACGTGCTGCTGATGACTGCCATTTGGTTCTTTCAAGGGCCCGGTTTCTATGCCGCCAAGAATACGTTGAAACGCGGATCCCTTAATAAATTTATTTTTGGGATGGATGTTAATATTTAATTTTTGGAGATATATAATCAAACATGGATATTACGGATATGAATAAATAAATAAAAGAAAAATATCCTCTTATTTTTTTCTTTTTAACTTTCATATATCATGAAATCAAAAAATTGAAAATAGTACTGATAATTAAAAAGTCTCCATCTTTTCTATCTTATAACCCCTTAGACCAATTTGACCATAAATTTTTAACCTAAATAAATACTAAAATGATATCTTATCCAAACTCCCTCTCTCTAAAACTCCATCTCTCTCTCTCCTCATCTTTCTACTCCCTCACTTCGCTTCTCTAAAACCATACTTCTAGTTATTGTCATGCTTTCTCTCATCATCCTTTCTCTAATCTCTCTCCTATTTTATTTTTTTTGCTCTCTCTCTCTCTTCCTCACCTTTCTAGTTTCCTCTTAAAAAATCTCAATTTGTTCTCTCTCTCTTAATTAATTCATCACCTTATCAATACCCCCTAGAAATTCTAGCTAAAAGAACTCCCAAAAACCTCGATTTTGAACTTAAAGGACCACACAAACTCTAATAGAATTTAGGCAATCTAGACCTATAACTATTTCAAAACTTCCCAAAGCTTATTCCAACTTGAAGTAGACCCTGAAAGCTTTTCAACGGTCCAAAAATTGCTTGAATCGGACTTACGGATAAAAAGATATTACAAATAATAATTTAGTCCCTGTGAGACCCAAGTATCAGGCAGCAGGCCGGGCTATAACACGGCCCGGTAGGCCTATACGTGGGCTGATGATGCAATAAACACATTTTCTTTAATTAGATAAGGTTAAAACTTCTAGGTAAATCCAAAAAATTTTGAAAAAACTCCAAAAACATCAAGAAAAAATACTAATTGAATCTTATAAATACTCCATCTCCATAACCAAAAAGAAGAAACCAAAAAAAAAGCAGAAAATCATTTAGAAAACCCATTAGAGAATTTCTAAAAAATTAAAAAAATTCCCCAAAAATCACATAAAATCCCAGAATTCATATTTAACCTTATGAGATCCCAAAACCCTTAGAAAACTAAGGAAATTCTTCGTCAATTCCAAGAAAAGCCTAGGTAGCCCTGACCGAAAATTCACAGCTTTTCCCATGCCTTAGGAACCGTTGATCTAGGTCAAAGAACCTTAGATATATAAATTTCAGCAATCAAAAGGCATCCAAAAAAAAGAGATGGTGACGCACATCGAAAGAGCGGCCCGATCCAAGCTTGAAATTCTGTGTTTCGTGTCTCTAGAGGTAAGTATATCTTTCGTGTCTCTAGATGTAAATATATCTTTCTTTGAAATTTTGGGTTTCGTGTCTCCAGTGGACTCAGAAAAAGACCGGATTTGTATAGATTTGGAATTTTTCTAACGGGATTTTTCTAAGCCCATAATTCAAGCAACCCCACTCTCTCTACATTTTCAAAAGTAACCAATTTTTACTAAGATTTGAGTAGATCTCATCCAAGAGATCGGCACAATCGGAGTGTAAATAGTTTGGCGCCTACCGTGGAGCACCTTGAGCTTCAGATCCGTATTTTAGACTTAAAAAAACTTCTTCTTTTTTTCTCATATTTAATTTTTCAACAAAAATAA